ACGGGAGACAGATTATGGATGGGGTTTTAGTGGCAAATGAGCTGATAGATTCAAGAGTGAGAAGTGGAGTACTGGGGCTGCTGTTAAAATGGATTTTGAAAAAGCCTACGATCATGTAAATTGGGGCTTTTTGGACTACATGTTGGAGAAATTCAACTTCGGCAGAAAATGGATGAACTAGACAAAAGTGTGCATAACATCAGTAAGCTTTTCTTTTCTGCTAAATGGAAAATCTGTAGGGAGAATATTCAGCTCAAGAGGTTTGAGACAGGGGGACCCCCTTTCTCCCCTGTTATTCATTTGTGTAACGGAGGCTTTGAGCAGGTTGGTGCAGAGGGCAGTTGATGGAGGCTCTGTGGGGGGTTTTAGGATGGGTGAGGAGGAAGGAGTGGCAGTATTACAATATGCAGACGACACTCTGTTCTTTGCTGATGCAGCTAAGGATCAGACGGAAGCCATCCATATGATGCTCATTTGGTTTGAAGTTGTTTCAGGTTTCAAGATTAATCTTCATAAGAGTGAGATTATGCCAGTTGGGGAAGGAGCAAATGTGAAGCAACTAGCAGAGAGTGTGGGTTGCAATTTGGGAAAGCTGCCCACTAGGTATTTGGGGATGCCTTTAGGAGAGAAATGTAATGCTAAGAAATTTTGGGAGCCTATAGTTGAAAGAGTGGAGAGGAGGTTGGCATCTTGGAAAGGTAGATACTTGTCAAAGGGAGGAAAGGTGGTGCTAATTAAAAGTGTTCTCTCGTCTCTTCCCACCTACTTACTTTCTCCATTCCTCATTCCAACTAGCATGGCTATGGTAATTGAAAAGAAAATGTGTGATTTTCTGTGGGAAGGATGGAAGCAGAAATATAAGCTACATCTGGTAAAGTGGAACAAAGTGTGTAGCCCAAAGAAAGTGGGAGGTTTGGGGGTAAGGAAGTTGAGAAAGTTTAACTTAGCCTGTCTGGCCAAGTGGTTGTGGAGGTGGAATGAACAGCCTAATGCATTATGGAGAACGATTATTCTAGCTAAGTATGGAGCAGATGTATCATATCTTGGGAGCCAGCGGAGACTATAATGTCTTATGGGTGTGCTGTATGGAGAGGAATTCAAAAGGCATTGGGGGAATTCAGAAAAGGAATCAGATACAAGGTGGGAGACAGCACAAGAATCAAATTCTCGACTAATATTTGGTGTGGAGATCAACCTCTTTATCAGAGCTTTCCCAATCTTTATGAGATTGCTCAAAACAAAGAATGCATGGTTGGTGTCCAGTGTTCAGAAGGAATTTAAAAGATTGGGAGGTTGGGCAGTGGATGGAGTTGAGGCAGCAGCTATCTGGTACAACTCTTGGCTCCACAGACAGAGATAGGAGAATTTGGAAGTGGGATAAAGAAGAATCCTTCACGGTAAGATCCTTCTATAGCAAACTCACGGAGGTGGAGGTGGTGGATTTCCCAGAAGCTGTTGTATGGAAATCTGTTGCCCCTCCTAAAGCTGCAATTTTATTATGGGTGGCAGTGTCGGGTAAATGTTTGACAGCTGAGGTTTTGGCCAGAAGAGGGATGAATCTGTTGCCTAGCAAGTGCATTATGTGTGGGGAAGCATCTGAGGACTTAGAGCATTTACTAATCCATTGCAGAGTTGCTCGGCTCCTCTGGACAAGGCTTTTGCGGCTGTTTGAAGCTCAGTTCTGTTTCCCAGAAAATGTGCTAGCAGTTCTTCAGAGCTGGCATCTGAAGGGACTTTCAAAAGAAAGCAAGGTAATTTGGAAAGCAGGTCAAGCTTTAGTGATCTAGACAATATGGACAGAAAGAAACAAAAGAATGTTTAAAAATATGTTTGTTTCAGATGATAATTTATGTAAAGGTTTTTGGGCGTAGGATATATTCATGGGTAGGGCTCATAATCTGTCCAGGAATAGATCTTATAGCTCCTTTTATAATCCTGGAGCTCTTTTTGTTCTACGCTTACAGAGTAACCTTGTACTTTGATGTACAGCTTCTGGTTGAGCACTTCACAGCTCCTTGTTGTGCAGATTTGGTTATTGCTTTTTGTCTAATATATTACTTTACCTTTTCCTCAGAAAAAAATGAAGAAATTCAATTGGGCAACACAACATATGAATTTGACTATACAATGAGTGGGAAGGGAGGCTAATGCATTTGCTGACTTTATAGCCAAGCAAGGAACAACTAGGGATCAGTTGTATTGGGCCCAAGTGTAATCTTTGTGCTGTTTTTTTTCTTTTAAAGAGTGAGGCTGCACCTCACGCCTCCCCTTGGGATGTTTGTATCAGTCTTTTTGTTTTTGTTGACAATGAATTCTTAATGAACTTTTATTTATCAAAAAAGAAATGCTAAGTGTGATGAACAAGAATTAAATGAGTCAACACACTATTATTAAAACACTCTTTGCTATGTTTTTTCTTGCATCTCTTTCCTCTTTTTTTAATAATTTTTTATTTTATTACCAAAAAACACTCTTCCTTATATTTTTTCTCCTTCAACTAAAAGAGAGAAGATTATGTAGAAGGTGTACAATGGTTGATATATTATGGATATGGACTATTAGCGAAGAAAGGAAAATTAGAAGTTTTCACAAGAAGATAAATCAGATGGAAACATTATTCTGTTGAAAGAACATATTGGGTTCCTTCAAGAAAAATTTTTTTCTTTCCTTTTTTGTAAATTTTTCAGCGAATGATGTAATGAGGACATGGCATGAGATTTCCCCATCATCCACAAGAAGACAGATCCAGGTGCAAAATTGGAGCTCCCCTTCCCAAGAAGCAATCAAACTGAATTTTCATGAGTGCTAAATTGGAAATCGACAAAATTTAGAAATAGAAAGAGTTCTTGGAAATTTGATGAACAAATTCTTTGTCTATTTCAGTCAAGACCTAACACGGGATGATCATTAGAGCAGAAAATTTTGCTCTTCTACAAGGATTGAGGATAAATGGTTTCTTCAACTTTGCAAAGGTTAGAAGTGGAAGGTAACTCTACAGTGTTGTCGGCTGGATGAAACGTGAAGACCCTTTTTTTATCAGTGAATTGTAAGATATATTAATTCAAAGCCAAAGATAGTACAATTTAGGGAGAGGCACGAGATGCTACCTCCCCTCTAAGGAGAGGAGATGGAGGAAACCATCAACCCTTTAGTTAATAAACATAACAAGGACAAAGAGAACTACAGAGAAGCCCAATACAAGGAGACCCGAGTAGCCCCTTGTTTAGCAAGATAATCAGCCAAGGATATTAGCTGATCTACCCATCCACTGAAATCTAACTGTCATGTCCCTCAATAGCCATTTGACCTTTTTTAAAATATCCTTAAAGTCCCAAGTGACAGTACCCAGGTCAGCCAACCATCCTACTACCACCTTGGAATCTCCTTCAATTATTAAGTTCTACACTCCAAGTTGATAAGCAATCTATATCCCCTGTGCCGCAGCTAGGAGTTCAGCCCTTACAGAGTCTCCTATTTCCACCAGTCCCGAAAAAAGGGCAATGATGTTGCTATTCTCATTTCTCAGTACACCACCAATCCAAAATAGTCCTAGGTTACCCTGACTACTTCCATCAAAGTTCAGCTTAACAAAACCCTCCATCGGTGGAGTCCAAGTTACTTGAACTTTAGGCTTCCTAGAGGAAGTGAGGGCAGCTGAAGACCAATTCCTCATTAAACCCTCAAAGGAATAATTTTCAAAGAGCTTTAAAGATTTCAGCCACAAAACAATCCTTGTAAAAATACACTCTTTGACCTCAAGAATGCTTCTTTCCTTCTCCTGAAAAATTCTGGAATTTCTCTCTTCCCAAATAGTCCAAAGGAGAGCTGCTCTTATACACTTCAACATAATTCTCCCTCTTCTTGTGGTCCACACAAAGGTAGACGAGGAAAACAACAAATTTACCTTAGCTGGCAAGTTCCACCTGCACTCAAACAAATCCAAATACCCAATTCCAAATGGCTGCAGCAAAAGGACAAGAAATCAATAAGTGATAACAGTCCTCATTCTACGCTTTGCACAAAATACACCAGTTAGGGGATAAACACAAGAAAGGTCTTTTCTTCTGCAGGTTATTCATTGCGTTGATTTTACTGTAGTAAACTTCCCAACAAAAAATAGCTATTTTTGGGGGAATAGAGCTAAACCAAACTTCCTTAACTGGGAAAGCCCAAGGAGAGGAACTAGAGCAAAGGGATTTAAAGAAAGATGCAAAAGTAAACGACCCTTTCAGAGTCAATGTCCAAATCCTCCTATCAGAATTGAGTGGGTCCAAGCAAACAGAATCAAGTAACAATAAGAGCTCAAAAGCTGATAAAGATTCCCCATCCCTCAACCATCTACGGAAGCCAAGGTCCCAATTTGTCGACAAAGGGGTATATGGGGACAAAAGAAAGGAAGACACAGGTTCTTTTTTATTAAGGGAAATAGAGAAGAAAGAGGGGAACAAATCCTTAAGAGGCAAAATTCCCACCCAAGTGTCTTCCCAGAAAAGAACATGAATCCTAGAGCAAGCATCATACCTTACAAAGCAGAGGAACTGGGAGACCTTGATGACTCAGATATTTCATCAAAGAAGCACAAGCTCTTGCTTCTAGATCGAACATCCCATTCATTTGGATAAGGAGATCTGCTAATCAATTAGCTGATAATTTAGCCAGATTGAGAGCTCATAGAGAGGAGTCATATTAGGGGATTGTATTCCTTAGGGGTGGTTCCATTTTGGGATTTGATGTACAAGTAAATGATTGATAATGAGGAATAGCCTTGTATATAATTTACCAAATAAAGTCTTGTAGGAAGACTAGGTTTTGGACCTTTCCTAGGCTACATGCAATTTTCTCCATTTTATTGTCCTTGTATCTCTGATTCAAGAATTCTGTATTCTAACAAAAATTTCTGTTGTTGATAAAAAAAAAAAAGTAAATGAAAACGAAAAAGAGTATCAAGAAAGAAAGAGGGAAAGAAGATGAAAGGATGGGGGGAAGATAGAGCTCTTAACTGTTCAGTTTGGCGAGGGCCTCCAGAAAAGAATGTAAGAACTTCCTCACTGATTATCTGAGAACTGGTGCTGCGAACAATTGACTGCAAAAGGGTCAGCTTACAAAGTCTGAATCCACAAGCAGCACAATATTTGCTGTTAATTTAGGGACTAACCAGAATTACAATGAATGAGGGCAGTCAGACAGCAGTAAATTGATACTCAGTGCCATGGATGGTAATTAGTGCAAAATGAGATCCAAGACCCACCATTTGATTGGATGATGAAACATTTAAAATCTCCTCTATTGAATAATCAAATAAAATTTCAAAAAGATTCCATGAAGATGTGTGTTATCAGCCTATCACCAATTCAGCATGATTTTCAGAAGTACCAATGTTTACCTATTTTTTTCAGTATGGTCTGTGTGTCTACGAGAGACAGAGAGAAAGAGAAGATTTTATGAAATATGGTTTGTTTTAGCGGTGATCATAGGCTGGACTTTGGACTTAAGTCAGTATTTAAGTTTTATATAATATAGCATATATTATATAATGTAATATTTTATATTATAAATATATAATATACGATATAAGTTATAATATACATATATATGTGTGTGTGTGTCGTTTTATAATATCTATGTACATAACATAGAACAAATATGATATAAACATGTATATATAACTATATGTTTAATGTATAAATTATATTTTTTATCAATATGTATAAATAATATATTGCAGGCCAGGCTGGAAATGATCACCCCTAGTACTATGTTTGGCTGTTTTTACTAATTTTTTTCTGTAGATGTGGAGGCTGTTTTTTTTTTGGAAAAAGGTAAAGTAATTTATTCAGAGAGAATGAAGATTACAACAAGGCCCAGACCACTAGGTCTACCTGGGCCCAAAACAGATTACAAGTACATCCATGATTTAGTGCAAAATAGGTGAGATACATTCTGATTTTTAAACTCCTCATTCACCGACACCCAGGAACAAATCTTCCCCACTGCTTTCTGCACCCAGGAACACTCATTCTGTTTTTTTTTTTTTTTTATGAGTGATGTGGAGGATGTTAACAAAAATGTTTTTCTTCCTTTCTCTTTTCTATATTCATTAAATAAATATCAGGACAATTAGCCGAGTCCATTGCAATTTACTTCTGCACTACATGTAAGAAAGTGATCGGGCATTCATAGTTAATCATGAAAAGGTGGTGCACGCTAGCCACTCCCTTTTTTTTTGAAAAAGATGGTAACTTTATTAATGAACAGTGGGTACAAAAGATGTACACAAAAATTACAACTCAAATGTTAAGTAGGAAGAAAGCTATCACTAAACAAGAAATCCCTGTGAGCACCAGCTTTTGCTAGGCCATCCACATCAGAGTTTAGATCCCTAGGGATCCAACCGAGCTGTGCATTTAAGTTAGATAGGATACCTCTAGCTTCAGCCAAGAAATGAGCTAATCGGGATGCAGATTGACCTTAGATTTTTGGCGAGTTCCGAACAGCTTAATCGGATGAATCTTCCCCAACGGTTTTCACTTTGTTGAATGAGAAGCACCTTCCCTCTGTGAACATGTTTATGCTCTTTCACTATTCCTGTTTGCGAGAAAATCACCTCTTGGAGGAAATCTCTCATCCAGGTCGTCACCTCTGCTTTCAGAGATATTCTCAACCAGCCACCCCTTCCTCTCTTAGTTAAAGTTAAAAAATCATCTTGATTAAGTGGGTTTGTATCAAACTCGAAAGATTTGAACCGATTGCTATTGACTTTCTCATTGGAGATAGAAATTCTCACCCAGCTCTCTCGAGGTTGACACACAATCAGTCATTCACTGCCACACTTTAGGTTTCCAGATTGATTTATGGATGATCCATCTAAACCATATCACTCCCTTATTTATTAAAGTCCATTCTGTTCCTATCTATTTTTCAAGTTTTCCTATATTTTTTTTATCAGAAAATAAGACTTTTATTAATTTCAAATATAATACTAAGGTACAAGAGTTAGGCTTCCACAATGCATTGACCCAAACTACAAACAATTACATCTCTGCCCAGAACAAAGTAGGTCTATATGCTCCCTGTTCTCCAATAATGAAAAAGTTTTAGTGCCTTTCTACTATAAGAGATCAAAGTGTTTAATGGATTTGGATTGCAACTATTGGACCAATAAGAAACATTCTACTCGCAGGAGCGGAGGAGAAAAGAATGATAAAATTGTGTCACTTATGCAGATGCCTCAAGTGAATATTGTAGTAGGAAACAACTGGAAAGAATGATCAACCATAAGGGTAAGAAAATACTCTGAAGATGCTGGATATTTCCCCTGTAATTTTTTCCACATTTGATTCAGAAAGCCTATTTAGGAGTCCTGGATGAAATTTGTTTTCAAAGCATGTTAAATTTTATATCAGAAAGTATACACATAGACACAAACAAGCAAACAAACAAAACAGAGGAGAAGATAGAATTTAACAGATCAGGCCAACTTTTTACCATGCATCCTTCGACGGAATTGGGACTCTTCTGACCCTTGTCCTGAAGAATGTCTCAAATGTGGAGGTATGTACTTTGCATTTCCATCCACTGCAGAGGACTTGGAATAAGGTTCTTCCAATGCCACCTCAGTGCCACCATTTTCCACCTGCTCAGGTCCTCCAATGTTCACATCACCCCCCAGCACATCTTCTGGTTCATTTTCCAGTGCATCAAGAAACTTCTGCTTCTTATCATGTTTCTTACTAGAACTGTGATTGGGACACTTTTCATGATGTTCTTCAGCTTCTAGGACTTTTTTATCCTCCAGGTGGTCAAGGACAGATGGAATTCCATCAAACAATTCATTGAGTCCATCACCGGTGCCCCTCAATTTTGCACTTTTTACCTTGAGCTTCTTTGCAAGCTTCCTTTCCAGTTCTAAATCTTCTTCCGCAGATACAACACCTTTCTTCATTTCCATTTCGATATACTCTTCAAACTTTGTCTTTGACTTTTGCTTCAAGGTCTTCCTCCCCTTCGCCTTTGCTACCTTTGTACCGGCAGAACCATGAGATGAATCCATGTTCAACTTGGATTCATCAAACAAAGAAGCTTCTCTCTCATCAAGCCCTCCAATGGTCATATCACTAACAACCTCATCTTCTGGTTCTTGTTCTGATGCATCCAGCAACTGTTTCTGCTTCTTCTTATGTTTCTTACTAGTAGAATTGTGATTAGAGCTCTTTACAAGAGCTTCTTCAGCATCTAGAATTTCTTCATCCACTAATGAATCAAGAACAGATGGAATTCCATCAAATAACTCACTGATCCCATCATCTGTTCCCCGCAATCTTCCACCTTTCACCTTGAGCTTCTTCGCAAGTTTCCTTTCCAATTCCAAATCTTCCTCAGCAGACACAACACCTTTCTTCATCTCCATCTCAATATACTCTTCAAACTTTGTCTTTGATTTCCTCTTCAAATTCTTCTTCCGCTTCACCATTGTTTGCGTTGTATGATCAGAATCACATGATAAATTCATTCTCTCAGGCAATGAAGGTTGCTCTTCACTTATATCCCTCCCATCTGAATGTCTAACTTCTTTCCTTTCTGAAATCTCATTACACGCTCCTTTGGTTTTCTTCTTAACTTCCGGTTTGGTCTCAACAGAAACCCTCTTCAATTTGCTAGATTTCTGGGTGGATGCAGTAAACTTCCAATTAAATACGTCCCTCCAAGTAACTAGTTAAAAGATTCGGAATTCAGAAAGTTACAAAATTAAATAACTGAAATTACCTGATGTTCAATCCACGATAAATACCGACTCTTCTGCTTCTCTGATCGAGCTTCTTTTCGCCTTTCTTTTCGAGATTTCTCGCCTAACTTACTCTCTGAAACAGATTAGACAAACAGATAAAGCCATAAACGATAAGAATGTTCTCAAATAGAAACCCTAAAATAAACGAAACCAAGCTGAAGAGAGATAGCAGTTACCCATGCTTCAGGCAAAACTTGATGAAACAGAGAGATTGCAACAGAGTTAGAGACGCTAGGGTGTGTCGTGTGTCCGGATTAGCTGCACTAGGTAGGCTGCGTTACCAATAGGAACAGAGCACGTCAACCCCACACATGAATTTAATGAGAAGCGTGATACGAGCGAATCTGAAACCTAGCCGAACCTCGGTTAACAAAAACCAAAATCCMCCCCCCCCCCCCAAAAAAAAAACAGAGGAATATGTCTGCTACATCAAACTACATTCATGGAAGATTTAGCAAGGATCACGAAAAAAAAAGAGTACAAACTCTGCAAAGGCGACATTTTGCGTTACCTACAAGTTCAAGAGCCGAAGTAGGGATTGGATAGAACGATACCCACAAAATAGTCCAGCAAGGAATGAAGAAGAAGGGAGAGAGATGGTTAAGGTTGTGAGGAGGAAGAAAAATACGATAGAAGATCAGATGGTGATCTCAATAGTCTGCGTCGATTGCAAAACCTCACCCCTTTATAGAAAAGTAGACTCTCTGGTCCGAAACTCCTTCAACTGCTCTTACTTCATGGCGGAAGTATATACATGGAGGATTTAGTAGAATATAAAAAGAAAAACAGAGCGCAACCCTACTACGGCAGGGATTCGTCTTACCTGCAACGGCAGCGGCTATGTTGGAGCACTTCAATGAAAGCAAAGAGAGAGTGTGTGGGGTGGGCTGAGATGAGAAGGAGAGGGGCGAGGGCGGGTGACGGGGGAGGAGTAAAACGGATCTAATAAATCGGATATAGGTAGATCCAATTCGACTTGTTTATATTCGAATTCTTTTTTTTTATTTATTTGATAGAATAGAAGTGGCCATACGTAGCACGTCCCCAAAAATCACAATAGTAGACATCAATTAAAACCCTAGGAATGGAACTATTGTAGACTTCATTAGAATGTGCATGATTAGCAAGTCAATCTGCCGTCATATTCCCCTATCCGAAGACATGACAAAGACAAGATAGTAATCCATCATTCCTTGAAGCCTCTTAAACATCATCCTACAACCATCAATAATCGGTTTCACTCTCCACAAGGGGTTGGTAAAATTCTTTAGACAATCGGTCATCCGCTTAGAATCACCCTCAATGATAATGGACCTGTTAAGAAAATTATGAGCAACATTGTGGGCTTCCCATGCAATCTAAGCCTCAGCCACATTGACAATAGAAAAACCTAATTTATAAGCTTTGAAGTCCAATATCTGACCCATATGGTCTCTAGTTATACGAGCTATCGAACAGTTCCCATTAATACAAGAGACGTCAAAGTTGACTTTAATGACCTCTAATTCAGGACTTGACCAACTAATAGGAATAATATCTCTTCTCCTCTAATCAATCACATCCTTTTCCTCACTAACTTGGATTTCATCCCAAGAATTTCGTGGGAAGAGCCACATTTCTTTTGTTAAAAACCATATCATTACGATTTTTCCCAAGTTGCTAGAGAAGTAACATAAATTTTTCCTTGTATAAGGGCAACTAATTGATCCCCCACCTTCATTACTAGAAATGAGGTTCCACCAATCGTTGACAAAACCATTCAAGTCGCTAGGAACCTTAACTGAGTCTCTAGTACCCAACCAAACTTATTTGGCAACCCAACAATTTATAAAGATATAGTCTATGTCTTCTTCATCCCCACAAATCTCACAGGATCCATCAATATCCATTCCTCTTGTGATTAGCATTTTCTTAGCGGGGAGTTTGTTATTGAGAAGAAGGTAAAGGAAATACTTATATTTTGGAGGGGTTTTCATGCCCTATATTTTATTTGTTCCATTCATAGATCTCACATCATGTCCATGCATTAAACATGCCTCATTATATGCAGATTTAATGAATAATTCCCCACTCGGATTAGGTCTTCAAATTCGTTTATCTTTTACATCACTCGAAGGGATAAAGATGGGCTTGATCTCATTCCACACTGAAGATGGAACAAGGTTTCTAATTTTTGGCGCATCCCAAGTGAATCGATCTTTGTCAATCACCTCACTCACTTTTAGATCACTATTTGAGATTAAGTTTTCATCAACTAAACTGGTAAGGGGCTTCCCATTCACCCAATTATCCAGTCAAAACCTAGTAGAATTGTCATTACCTATAACAACTTTAGTCCCTCTCTTAATTAACTCCCTAGAGGAAAGAATGTCTTTCCAAGCCCAAGAGAATACTTTCTGGCTAACCATATCCAAGAAATTCTTATTCCTTAAGTTTTTTTTACTCACCACTTAACCTAAAGATTATCATTTTCATTTAGAATTCTCCAACCCAGTTGGGCCAAATTTGTCTGATTAGGCCACCGCCAATTTTTAATACCTAAACCTCCCCAATGCTTGGTGGTACAAACTCTGCCCTAATTGACAAGGTGAAGAGGCTTTTTGTCATTCTGCTTAGCCCATAAAAACTTCATTTGCTTCCTCTCCAATTCGTCTAGGGAATTCTTATGGATTTTAAAAGACCTCATGATGTATTGAGGAATCATGCTAGTAGACCACTTAAGGAGAGTGACTTTTCCCGTTTCCTCTCAATTTTCTCATTTAGGAACTTAAATGTTTTCTTGCAAAATTTAGCAACAAAAATAGGGGCCCATAAGTACAACTCACCCTTGGTACCCAAAGGAATCTTCAAAATTTTGGAGAGAATCCTGGATTCTATGATGAATATTTTTAGACACAATAATACTTGATTTGAAAAATTTAGGAGCCTAGCCAGAAGCTTTGGCAAAATTATCCAAAACATCTTTAATTGCCCAGCAAACTTAAATATTAGCTTTGGCAAAGATTAGCTAGTCATCGGTAAATTACAAAATCGGAATGGTAGGGTCGTATCTTGAAGCTTTACAGCCAATCAGGCTTCCTTGGGTGGACATAAGTCTCTAGAGATTCTTGGTTAAAGCCTCAACACATAGAACAAATAAGTAAGGGGGCAGAGGGTCACCTTGTCTTATACCCCCAGAAGGAGAGAATTCTCTAGTTGGAACACCAATAATCAATATTTGATAGGTTACTATCCTAACACATTCCATCACCCAACCAATCCATTTAGGGTGGAAACCATACCTCTTGAGAGTATTCTCAATAAAATTCCAATCGAATCTATCATAAGCCTTTTCCATATCAATCTTGCAGGCCATAACTCCAGACTTGCCTTTCTTTTTCTTTATTTAATGGAAAATTTTATGAGCAGTTAAGACATTATCAGTAATCTGCCTCCTTGGAACAAAGACACTTTGAAAGGGGGATATTATATCAATTAAGCATGGTTTAATTTTGTTCACCAAAATTATAGCAATAACTTTGTAAATAACATCGTAGAGGCTTATAGGCCTATAATTGTTAACCAAGTTAGGGTTCTCAGATTTCGGGATTAGCATGATGAAAGTTTTATTCAGAATTTTATTCATCTTCCCTGAGTGGAAAAATGATTTAACCACATTGCAGGAGTGACCAATAATGGGCAAATTTAAAAAAAAAATAGGACATTAAGCCCATCAGGGCTAGGGGCTTTTAGATCTTTCATGGAGAAAAAGGTGGATTTGATCTCTTCATCCGTCACTTCTTGGACAATAGCACAATTCTGATCCCTAGAAAAGCAAGGGCTAATGGGATCAATAAATTCCTTAATGCCCTCAACACCTTCAACTTTGAATCTGTCCTCAAATTTACCCCTGACAAAATCCAAGATATCCATTTGATCAGTGATCATGCCCCCTTCACCATTCTTAATTATATAAATCCTATTTCGACTTCTCCTGATTGTAGCAGAGGTGTGGAAGAAGGTATTACTTCTATCACCCAGTTTGATCCAATAAATCCTTGACTTCTGAGACCAGTACACCTCTTCCCGATTTAAGACATTACTTAAGTTCTTTTGAAGGGCCATTTCTAAGTTAATCAGAGAAGTGTTGGTAGGATCCTCAAGAATCTAATTATGGACATCTTTGATTTATTTCAATATGTTTTCTTTTAATTGAAAGATATTGCCAAATTTCCGTCTATTCCAGTTCTTCAAATCCTGAACTAGAGCATTTCTTTTCTTGATGAATTGAGTAGCCTTGGAGCCTACAAAGTCTGTATTCCGCGCTCTTTAGACTAAATTTTCCAAATCAAAGTCAAGGAACCGCATGGCTTCAAACCGAAAAGGCTTTGGACCCAAATTCAAGGACTCCTTAGTTTGAAGGAAAAGATGAGAGTGGTCCGAAGCTAAGAAAGGGAGATTTGTAAGGGTAGCCTCAGGGAAATAGTTATTCCAAATTACATTAGAAAAAACCCAATCCAATCATTCTCTTAGATTTTTATTCCTCCATGTAAATTGCATACCAATCATTTTCATCTCAATTAATTCACATTGAGAAATGCAATCATTAAAAGTCCTTAATTTGTCTAGCTACGACTTCCTTACCACCCCACTTGTTATCCCCATATCTATAAGCATTGAAATCACCAACAACACACCAAGGCTGATTCATATCCTCAGTAGTGTTATTAAGCCAATTCCATACAATTCTTTGTTCAAGTTTGTTAGGGGGGCGTATACAAATGTATAAAACCAAGACTAATTATGAGCTAAATCAGTAACCAAAGCATGAACCATTTTGTCATTAGTAAAAATAACATTCAAGTTGCATTGACTCTTTTTCCACATGACCCACAATCCACCAGAAAATCCAATAAGTTCAACAATGACAGAATCATCAAAAGGAAGAGACTTGACAATTTGTTTAGCTCTATCAGGACCTACCCTAGTTTCCATTAAGAAACAAATGTCAAGGTTGTGAATTTTTGACAAAAAACAAACTTGGCGACTTAGAAGGGGTCTGCCAGCCCCTCTAACATTCCAACACATCATTTCATTTGCTACTAACATGATTTCCCAAACCTATATTTTCTTTCATAACTACTTCATTTAGGTCACCATTCTCATTCAACTTCAATGAAAGAAGCATCTTCAATTTGCATGTCCTGACCTTCCCATTCCTCATCTAGAACATTCTTATCATCTGCTCCATCAACATCACATCCATCTTCCCTATCATCCTTCATATCACCCACCACATTGTTCTTGTGGCTTTTTGATTCGTTGTGACTTCCCCCATAGGTGATCATCTTGGACGCTTTAGAGTATTCTATATGAACTCAAACTTGTTTGGAATTTGGCTTCAGAGCTGGTTCAATAGTCATGTGATCGGGATTGATAAATTTAAAACAGGCACCATTTCTCACCTGCTCCTGACGTTGGCTTGGCTTTTAGCCTGTATCCAGTTTTGAGATTTGTTGTTCCAGATTCTATTAAAGCTCTCGTTTCCACCCACCTTTTTACCTTCTTGAATCCTGGATTTACCCATCCTCTTTTGCTGCACTATAGTCCATCCGTCCTCATTCTTTTGTTTCTGTAACTCCAGATAGTTGATGGCTTTGTGTCCACGCCATCCACAATTTAAGCACAAATCATAGATGTTTTCATAAAATGGTTTGAAAATGTGTTCTTGCCCACTAGAAGTGAGAGAATTTGTAGTTTAAACGGACTGGTGAGGTCCACACGAACACAAACTCTAGGATATACCATTTAGTGGAATTCTTTGGTGTTTATATTCGAATTTGAATTGGATATTATCCATCTGATTTAGGGTAAATTTCTTAAACAGTTTAGAAAATTGATTGTATATTCCAACTATTTAACTATTGTCTAATGCTATATCTACTGTTTTCAATTGACCAGCTCTACCTTTATCATCAACATCCATTAATATTTCATCAAAATTCACACATATGACACTATGTGACAAATTTTTTAAAAATCCAATCTTCACCATCTTCTCCCTTTCAACAACACTAAATTGGCAATGTTTTTGACTTCTAATTTGATCTTGAAGTATTCACTTCCATTAGAGTAGGGTGCCATGAGACTTTTGTCCCGACTCTAAGATCTCTCCCTGTCTTGGTAAAACTTTATGATTCAAAAAGTCTCTCTCTCTCATATTTTCATTCTTATTTATTGTTTTTGGGTTAAAAGTATGGATGGAGCTAGCAGATATCCATCGTACATCTGATTTCTTCTTCTTATGGATTTCATTTGGTTCAAACTACAATACCAACAAATGGTTCATGATCGACGAAATTAGTTTTTTGGGTTCAAATTTGGCGGGGCTTCTAAATTGAGAATTTGTAGTGGGCATGGTAGGGGATGAGGATGTTGTCAGATTTTGAGGTCAGTGCCAAATTTCTGGTGGCCGCAAAAACATTGTGGAGGACTACATCCTAGTCTTCTAATCAAGTGGTTTCACATTTTGATAGTGGTAAAGATTGTGCAAAACCACACCACATTGACAACAATGGTGGATAGGTGTGGCAATTTCCTATTCCTCTTACTTCGTAAGATCAACAAAATATTAAGGCTCAGGCTTGCTTGCCCCCCTTGTAGCAACTGTTGGTTGCTTGTCGCAACTTGGACAAGTGGGCAAAGGTGGGTTCTGATGATGTCAGAGAGTGGCTTCATAGCCCTCACCCCCAACCCAAGTGGTAGAAAATATGTAAACAAGCCAAAGGAAAGGTTGAAACTTGACTTGCCTTCATTCCAGAAAAACCAACATCCAACAAGGACTCTTGTTAAGAAAGACATGATTGCATTATTCAATGAAGAATGCTCCAAAGTCGCAAATCACATCTACCTTGGCGGAGATGCAATTGCTAGGAGAAAGGATATTCTTAGGCAGAATGGTAGAAGAAGAGGACACGGTGAGGAGGGAAAGAACAAGATTGATACCTCTCTCCTTATGAAAAGACAAATTCCATACAATGCAAAAAGAGTTGGCACGAATAGAGAATAATTTTGTTCCTTGAAAACAACTAGGAACTCAAGCTAAACTTCTAGCCTCACAACCAATGGTGAAGATTTTAGAGCTTGAGAGAAAAATACAATGGAGAAGATTGAGACAGTCTAGAATGCGGAGACCATTTGAGAAAAATACAAGGAAGACGACTGAGTTTCCTGACGTCGATCATCTACGCCCGTTCTCCCTTATCAGATTCTGAAGTAGACCGCTTTAAGATGGTGGTATTGTTTGGACTTCAGATTTCAATTCAGATCAATAAGCTCGAAAGATAACAAAAAAAAAAAACTCATAGAAGAGTGTAAACCTCATAATAGAAACAGAGAAAAAATGTTCAAAGGTGTAGAACATAAAAGCCCAGAAACCAAAAAACGAGCAAGCAATATAACAAAAACCACTTAGTTTATTTTCGCATGCAAATTTTGATTCAAGGGCAAAGCATACATTTCAGCCCTTTTGTTAATATTTAATGACAATGGTAATTGTTAGAAACAATAAAGGTAGCATTAGACAATAATCAAATAGTAGGGATATACTTAGTTAATTAGCCAAACCACTAAGGAGTCATTCAAGTCAAATAGTAGGTAGCATTAGACAATGCCTTTAAGTTTGACACTTAAGGATTGATCATCAGTGGATCACTCGAAAATCTGCTTTTGTCTCAATCATGTACCTATTTCCTTTTCTTCCATGGTTAAGCAAGCTATTAATGCGCAGAAAAAATCTTTATTGAGTGATTACAGACGGATAAATGATTATATTGACACCTATCACAAGATCCAGGTAACACTCATCAGATTTTGGGTCTTCATATCCAGGCGTTGCATAGGAGGCATGTGTGATGTTTGGCCATAGGTGGCTGCAATATTGAAGAGCAACCAGCAAGTCTGAGTGGGAAGCCTTAATAGATGACTTATGTTCCGAGACCTTCTGTGGAGTATGACTTAAAAGAGAACAAGCTTTTCCTTCCTTGTGAGGGTAAGTCTTCAACAGTTGTAGTTTCAATTACCATTGGCTTCAATTCTCTAGGCAAAAGATAGAGAAGAGACGAGATGCAGATGATTTCTATAATTGAGAGTATAACCTGCACCAAACATCTCTCCAGATTGACAAAATTTTTGCATATGGGCAACAATTGCAAGTCTGTGACATAAAGTTGCTCTATCCACCTAATTGTATCTACATTGACTAGTGAAAAGTTGGATCCTTTTAGGCTGTATATGGTTTGATAGAAAATAATAGAGGAACACAAAGTACTGTTTTCATAAATAGAAAAAAAAAACTATTTTTATTGCTTATTAACTGTCTTAACATCTAAACCATTGTTCTTTGATTCTGTTCTACATCAGATGTGATCTCCAAGATCAGATATGGGTAGGCACCAGATGCTTTGAATTACAAAGGTGTAATGATAGTTAAATAGATGCAAGGTGGAAGATTCCAAGGTTATCCAGAAACATACAGCTCCACATCCTTGCTTTATTAGGTTGATCTACATAGGCACCTCAGGGGGGTAATCCTGTGGATGTCTCTTGATGGTTTCTCTAAGTAATCTTTCTTGCTCAAGCAGATTAGATGGGAGATGATCATAGACATCTGTGAATAAATCAGAAAGTGGAGGTTTCTCCACCTTTTCTGCTACCTGAATTGCATGCAATATCTGCATTGAAGTGTAACCAGTCAGATTTTTTTTCCTGAACAAACATAAACCAGACAGTAGAAGCCATGTAGATACAAAAAACACTACCTGCTTCCTTGCACTGCTTCTAAGCTCTGACTCATCTTCGTCACTCCACCAGCCATTCCATTCAACCCACTTTCTGAATCTGGTTACAGGGTCTCTTGCCATTCTCCAGTGTTCAATTTCATCAACCGGGCGATATTTGGTGGAATCATCTGAAGTAGAGTGGTGTCCAACTCGATATGTAAGTGCCTGGTAATTCAAGACCAAGACAAAAAAATCCATAAATTGAAAAAACATGACCACATTTAAGTTGCATAAAAACAAATAAACAGGTAGTATCAGACAATGCTTTTAAAACCAACCCAGAAACAGAACCAGTTTTCCATCCGGGTGGTGAGTTAGCATTCAGTCATCTGGGTGAAACAGGTCAATCCATGATGTCATGAATTAAATAAAAGATAAAAAAATAGATAAAATACACATAGAAAATTACAGGAAATTGTAGAAAATTGGGCAAGTTTCTAAATTCCAGTATTATATATTCATCATATAAAACAAAAGTGAGATTGGATGTTATTAATGATGAGAATAGCTGAAAATACGAAAAGGAAAGGGAAAAGGAGAATAAATTGCTAACCTGTGACCTGTTGACCGGGCCAAATGGTTCAGCGGTTCAGTCAGCCAGGTCACTGGATCGTTGACCAAGAGAACATTTTTTGGAAGTGAGAGGTGGGGTGGNNNGGGGGGGGGGTGAAATGGATCCAGAAATCTGGCAGGGTGAGGTTGACTGGTGTAACTGGCCAGTTTGGTTGTAGGTTGAAAACTTTGGTATTAGAAGAACAACAAATATACCTCAATTAATATGGGTCTGTGCTCACTAATGGCCATTTCACGGGCTGTTTGAACTGCAGTATAGACAGCAAGAGCATCATTCCCATCTACACGAATACTACGTACTCCATAAGCCTGACCTCTAACTACAATACCATCACCTGCAATGCCAAAATCCTAACACAATGAGCCTAATTGGTTAATAAAGAGTTTTAAGAAATGGAGAACTGAAACATAAGAATGCATAGCATATGGAATGTACTTCGAAACTGTTCCGATGTGGGGGTACTAATGGCCCATCCATTGTTGCGACAGATGAAAATAACTGGGGCCCCCATGACTGCTGCAAAATTTAAAGCAGCATGGAAATCTCCCTAAAATAGTATATAAAAAAGTTAGAAAGAAAGCTAAAAAATTTGGTCTCTGAATTTAATTTAATATCAATTATAAATTTACTTCACTTGTGCCACCATCCCCAAAGTAAGTGATGACACATGCATCTTTACTATCCATTTTCAGAGAATAAGCTGCACCCACAGCTTGAGGAAGCTGTGTACTGGCAAACACAAAAAAAAGTTAAGATTTCTGTTGGTGCATTCATGATGGCTGGTAAATACTCGGAAAAGCATATGCGTGTGTTTGTGTATGTATGCATGCATTATGCATGTATAGATGGATGTTTGTGGGCTTATATCTTACGCAATTGTTGATGATACGGTGAAGTAATTGAGCTTTTTGGACCCATAGTGTATTGGCATCTGACGACCTTTCCCATTATCACCTTTGTTCCCAAAGCATTGATTTGCGAATTCTTGCAGGGTGAAACCACGCCAAAGGAGAACTCCTGGCTCTCTATACTGCAGTTATACAGAGTTGTACACTCACATCATTGGCAATAAAACTGATTTGATTATCGACGCACAGCAGAGGAGGAATACTTTCATCATTGGATGACTAGAATAATCCATGTTCCCTGCCTCTGCTGTACAGGTGAAGGGTTTTAAGACCTATCATAGATGGGTTCCCAAAGGAGATTTAATGTAAGAAATGAAATGGTCAGAATGATCCTATTGGATCAATTCTTGGCATAGGAGACTTCCTCAGTAGGTAAAATCTAATGTAGGGTCTCCAACACTTTGAATTCATGCCACTTGTACTGGAGATGCAAGGAGAGCTTCTTAACTTTTTCCATTCCTGTCGTCTTGAGTGTTTCATTAAGAATGCTTTCTATTCATAGTATGTATCTGTATCCTTAAGATTGATGCATTTACTTATATGAATTTTATCAATCAGGTAGATATGTACCGATAGGAATGTAAAAATGCATACTTTTCACAACCTGAGGCAACACAACGTCATCAAATGTGAGGGCAGCAGCTGATGCAATGTTGATGGCCTCTTCCCCGTTTGAGGTAACGTAGAAGGAAATTCTTCCTTGTCTCTGAGCTTCATAGAAAATAGTGTCCATAGTTTGAAGAGTGACCATGTTGCTGTACATTCTTACAGCAAATTCCTTGCTTAGCTGATGAATTTGAGCACCCAAATTATTGTCAAGGAAGGTGTAGTATTAGCAAACAGTTGGGGGAAAACATGTACTCTTTTAAACTGAAACTTGAATTATTAGAAGCAAAGAGGGAGGAATACCGGTTGGAAACTGGTGCCTAGAATTGGTCTCCCATTGTCATCAAGGACCTGATAGCATTTTGTCCGCTTCTCAGGGGACTCAGATATGAATCTCATTTCTGAGGTAAATGTTACCTGCCCTCCAGGAAAATCCAAGATCTGGAAAGATGAGATAAAAGTAATGAGGAAAGACAGATTACATTTTCAGAAGAAAAAGGTTCAAGATGTTTCCCGAAATTCATGTAACAACTCTATAGCAGAAAGATTATTCAAATGAAGCAAGGCCTCCTTCATGGGCCAAAGTTAGTATCAGGGCTGCGATATTATCAGTTGACTGCTGGCTTCTTAAGTTAATCTTCTTAATAGATATAAAAATCACATAATATAAAAACAATTTTCTTCCAAATTTAAGTTGCAAACTTGCAACACCAATTATATGGCAGAATCATATAAAACAAGGAAGGATTCTAATGCCCCTAATTAAATGAATACCTTGGATAAACTTGAATAAGTTGATATAGTTATCATATTCTTCCTTTTTTTGATCCACAATTATTATTTTCTTATTTCTGTAAAATTAGCATCCAAGTGAGAGGTCATTGGTTTTCGGTAGGAAGAAATACATATTTTATTTTCCTGTCTATACTCTTTTGTCCATGTTTAATATGAATTATCCGCCTTCCATTTGTAAAACATCATTTTCTTTCTCATTCATCAATTTAATTTAGACTGTCAGGCTGAGGATTCTTACAGGTAGAGAATGGTTGGAACTTGGAAGTCAAAGTTAACAATGAAATATCCACCAGTAAACTATCTTCAATGAAATCAGTAGTAAGAATTGAACATTTCCCAGGCTTCATATAGGCTCCATAGTCTTTAAAGGTTTTAATTTCCGATCTTTGTTCTGTTCCTTGAAGCAGACCAAGAAATTGCTTTAAATGATCAAGCGAAAAATCCAAAAAGTCATTGAAACCTATGAAAACTAATATCAAGGAAAACCTGTTTTCTCCTTACAAATCGGGCATTCAACCATATATATGGTGTAGGACTATTTTACATTATTTAAGTAATCAGATTAAGTTTTTTCCAGAACATCTGCTACCAAATAAAATAGTTGAATCTAGTTTGTAAAAGAACTACAGAATGATTCTGAGGTGAATAATGTGCATAGAAGATCTTCAAAATCTACAACATGCAGACATTTTCAAGCTTATAAACAGTATAGGAAATCTATGAATTATAGGGACCAATTAGAATTGCAAGCTTATAAAGAGAAATGCAAAAAAAAAAAAAGGCTTCAATCCATTCGTACCTGATTTTCGTGTTCGTCGTACCGTGAATCACGTTGTGCTTCCGCTAGAGTAGATTCAGAACAGCGAACAGAGAAAAGGGCCATGGCATTATTCAGAACTACAACCGCGTTTCTATAGCTTTCGTCAATTGGTGATACGAGTGAGGAATTACGTTGGTGGAAACCCAAAAAGCTGTGGTTGAGTTTTCCCAAGAAACCCATGTTTCTTTTGAGATGTCGAGCGACATTTCCCGACCTTGTGAACCAGACTGCCATGAAACAGAGCTTAGAATCACAAACAGAGATACCAAAAGAACGATCGGTTGCAGGGAAAAACACGATGAAGAGATCCTATTAAAAAAAGTCGAGCTATTATGAAACTCCTAATCACCATAAAATGGCTTTAATACGTAACTGTAACATGTCAGCCTGATCTTATCTGCATCCGACGCCGACTTCTGCTGGTGGGGAATTAGAAAATTACAAAAAGAAGTCCCCACAAATGGTGAACGTGTTACGAGAAGTGTGAAGCAGAGTGAATCCAAAAGAGAATCTGACGAGGACCCACTATGGCAAGCGAGGACCGAACACGTCTCCTCCCGACAAGTAGGGGTGTAAACGGGTCGAATTCAAATAGGATTTTCAATCTATCTGATTAGATTATCCGATATTCGAATTCGATTCGATATCCAACCGATATTGAAAATTAATATCTGAATTAGAATCCGATTAAATTTTGAATATTCAATTTGATTTGAATTTAATTAATTAATTATTTTAGATAATTAATAAATATATAAAATAAATATTTTATTGATATAAAGTACATAAATATATAAATTATTAATATAACTTAATTATTTTATATATTATATTTAAGAATTAAATAATCGATTGAATTTAGATATTTATTGAATTGAATAAGGTCATATCCGAATTCAAATCCGATTAACTAGTCGGTATGAATAGGATATCAGAATTCGACCGATTAAATATTTGAATTATCCGAATTCAATTCGATTATGTCAAATATCGAATTCAAAATTGGATTTTCGAATACCGTTTACACCCCTACCCACAAGGGGCCACCCCACAATGCCCCGGAGAACCCAAATTTCTATTCAGAACTGCAATGGCATTGGAGATTAAATTACTGTTATTTATAATTATTGTGTTTTTTTATAATTTAATGATTAATATTTATTAGAAATTAAATTATTATTTGAGATTACACTATTTGTTGATTATTTTAATATATTTTTTAGTATTTATTGTATTTTTGTAATTATTAAAATTATTGTATTTTTATTATTTATTTATTGTATTTTCATTGTCAATATATTTTTCACAATTGTCTATTTTGTGCTATAAATTTTCAATAATTATTGGAGATTAAACTATTGTTATTTATTAAATATTAGACTCCTAATTTATTTGAAATTAAGAGTGTTCACTAGTTGGTTTAGTTTAGTTGTAGGTTGTTTAGCCAACCAAATTGACCTGGTCAGGTTGAGGAGTTAGTCACACGAAACCAACTAACCATTAGTGAAAACTGACCAACTCAGGTCATATTGATTTGAGTCGATTTTCGGTTTGGTCGGTTGGTTCAAAAGATTTAAACTTAAAAATTAATGTTAAATTAAAAAATACAATAACATTATTAAATAAATAAATTTAAAAATTAAATTTATGATATAAAATATTTTAGACTAAGAAATATGGGAATTTTTTCACTTTGTCATATTAAAAAATTATATTTAAAATATAAAATGTTAATATATATATATATATATTTGGGTTAGGAAACTATTGAGCCAAAGTTGACTGGAAATACTAGAAAACCGAGTTGGTCGGTTTCATCAGTTTTATAAACATCCTAGCTTAAATTAATTATTGTTATTTTTGTATTGTTAAAAAATTATTAGAAGTAGTATATAAAATATAAATAATTATTAATTATTTAAAAGTAAAAATTATAAAACAATTGTATATTTTATATATTTCTATTGTTTAGCTCAATGTTTTCGAACCATCGTTAACTTGAACGGTCAGGCCATTTGGCTTGAGAACTGTCCAAGAAACCAGTTCCGTTTTACCCCAAACCTAGTCCATAGCTAAAAACCATTGAATTTATCAATGACCTATTGACTTGGGTGGTCAAACTATCGACCTATTCCTGTTCAATAGTTTTTGATCATTTTTTATTTTAACTATTTTTTTCTTTGGAATGGGCCATCCATTCAAACCGGATGGCCAAACCGTTGACTTGGAAACTGGTGGCCAGAACGGTTCCGTTTCTAGGTTGGCTTTTAAAACCTTAGTTTAGCTTTTGCTTAACAAATCTCATGCATCGCATGAGTCCCCACTAGTTATATAATTAATAATAGGGTAAATCTCTTAAAGTACCTGTACTATTTAGCTAATTGACATGTGGTACCCATATTGTTTAGCTATTGTTTTGCGGTACCCTTAAGTTTTTTTAACAATTGTCATCGTTGTTAAATCGGGACGAAAAAGTTGATTTTACGTTTTTACCCTTTCATTAACTCTCACTCAAATTGAACCCATTTTGCAAATTATGTTTTACCTTTCCTTAATGAGGGGTCAAGTAAAGGATTATTCTCATTTGAATGCTATTTATCATTGTTCTAGCGGAAAAGATCCAGTCATTTTCCACAACTCTAGCAGGTGGTACGGTGGTGCACAACAGGTTTGTATGAAAAACCATGCATTTCCGTCATGTTTTTTCAGTGGAAGGACGACATTTGTCATCTCTCTAAACTAGTTCTTAGAATTTTTTCTTACAACTTTTTATTGTTTTGCAGTGGGATTTGAATATTAAAAGCCTATGTTTTCTGTCATCACAGAGTTATGGTCCAAGCTTTTTATGTGTTTTTTAGGTAGGTTTTTGGGGACCACTCATAGGGATTTGTTGACAAATCCGGGTAAAATGACACTTGGAATTGAGGTAAATAGCTAGGTTTTGGAGGACCACTCATAGATCTGGGTATATGTGGTGTGTTGGAACCCATGTGTCTACTTTAATTCATACACATAGGATCCACACGTGGGTCCAGGTGTTCAACAAAATGTCTGAAACACTGTTTCAACATGAAACTGTTAATACCAGTAAATAAATGTAGGGCCCATGATTGGAATGTTATAGATGGGGAATTTAGCTTGTGTATGCTTATATGTTCTAGCTCATAGTGTAGCTTATGGTGTAGGTTGTAGTGTAACTTATGGTGTAGCTTATGTTGTAACTATATTTGTCTCTATCTATGATGTAGGTGATAGATGGGAGTAGATACATGTTCATCATCAATTATAGTGGTCACTGGAAGACCACAGATGGGAAGTTATCATACGTAAATGGTCAGGTTGGACATATGGATAATGTGGACTGGGATGGGATTTAGATGAGCATTTAGGTGTACATTCTTGGTTGTGAAAATGATGTGATGGTAATGTTTTTCATCCACGGGAACCTCCGTGAGATAGTGTTTTATGTTATTTATACCAAAGTCAAGTGTATTAGTATAGATGACGGGTGCAGTGGCAATGGAAAGGAACAATTGCAAGATGATGATGATGAGGTTAACTATTATGTAGTTGATGATGAAGGAGGTATAGTTGATCATAGCCATGGCAATGATGAGGGGCTGGATGGTCATCATGATGTTGATGATGGGGGATTTGAGGGTTTGTATGATGATGGTGAGGATTATGAAGTTGATGGTGGGGATCAAGAAGGCTCGGATGGTGGGGATCATGAGGGTTTGGATGATGATGGTGGGGATGGTGGCAATGAGGGTGTACATGATGGAGGTGGTGCTAATTTGTCTAACTATGAGCCTATCAATGAATATGATAGTCCAAGGGAAAGGGGCAATACAAGGGATTTTGACTTTTCCAAACCAAGATTTCGGATTGGTATGGAGTTTACCAATGTGAAAGAGTTTAAGCAAGTATTGAAGCAATATTGTGGAGGGTATAAAGATCAAAAGAAAGAAAAATGAGAAGTGTAGGTTTACTAGGGTGTATATCGCAAGTGACTGTGGCAAGAGGATTCATGCATCCCTTAGTCATGATGGAGGCAGCTTCATAGTGAAGACCCTCAATGAAACACATGGTTGTATTAGGGTGACTACAAATAGGGAGGCAACAAATACATGGCTATCAACAAAGATTGAAGGTCTGATCCCACCATGTCAAGCAGTGTGCTTGGGTCTGAAATTAGGAGAATGTTTGGGATAGATGTCACTTGGAGGAAAATACATAGGGCTAAACTTAAGGCTGTTGATAGAATCGGGGGATCATTGGTAGATTCATACGCATTACTCCCTTAGTATTGTACATCCTTGCTTGCAAGCAACCTTGGGTTTGTTGTGAAGCTACATGCCTTACTTGACTCAAAAGAAGACACATATGGGGTTTTCAAGAGAGTCTTCATATGCCTTGCAGGTCTAAGGGATGGGTTCTTGGATGGTTGTAAAAGGACTATTGGACTAGACGGTTGCCACACCAAGACTGATGCAATAGGGGTATAATCACAACTGTAGGGTTGGTGGCAATAATGACATCTTTCCTATTGCATATTCTATGGTGGAAGCTAAAAGAAAGGACAGTTGGACATGGTTTTTTGGCTGAGTTAAGAGATGCTCTAGGTATTGATGACCTGCACAGATGGACATTTATGTCAGATAGACAGAAGGTATGTATATATTTGTTTGTAGTTAATGCATAATTTCTTTTGTTTTGATTACAACTAGCACTAATAAATGTGATGTTTGTTTGCAAGGCATTGTTGAAGTAGTATCATGTTGCATGCCTGGTGCAAATCATAGGTTCTGTCTACGACATCTATATAGCAACTTCAAAAAACCTTTCAAGGGAAAGGCATTGAAGGATGCCGTATGGGATGCTGGGAAATCATATATTCATATTGACTTTGTTCATTACATGAAAGTAATCAAAAGTTTATTTAGAGATGCATTTGAATGGTTTAGTAGAACCCCTCCCCCTCCCTCGACACATGGTCCAGGCATGGGTTTGACCCATTTGTTAAGTCTAATGACATAACAAACAACTGGACAGAGTCATTTAATGCGTGGATTGGGGAGGCCAAAGCAATACCTATTGTTGAGATGTTGGCGGACATAAGGAAAAGATATATGCAGAAGATTTATTATAGACATAAGGCATCCATTACACCTAGGTTTGATCTGTTGCCAAAGGTGCAAACAATCATTGACAAGAGAAGAAGGGAAGCTAGGTGATGTTTATTGCCCATATATTTATTGTATTGTTGGATTGAGCAGTTCATAGTACATGTACTTACTTATTATGTAATGTATTAACAAGTCTATTACAATCAGGACAATATGAGTATCAAGCACTA